TGGAGTGCAATGTGTTCCAGCAAAAAATAATGCACATCTTTATTAAATGTGGTGCATCCTACTAGTTCCGTACACAGCCTGTGTAGATTCAATAATTTGAATTCAAATAATGTATGATTTCCTTCCTTTCAAATCCAGGGGGTAATGTCGGCGTATATAATTTTTGGGGGGGAGTAAAAGGTAAAAAGGTTCCCTGACCCCTCCACTAAATGATAGCTTAATTTAACAAAATGGCCAAAGTCAAACCCTAGCTGCCAAACGAAACCCAGCAGCTTTTTGCTACAGTGTGATCCTTAAGAAAGGCCCTAAAAACAATTTAAATCAAATGGGAATGGAAACATCTCCAAGGTTGTATATAATACCTGCTTAAATGCTAATAAGCCTCATAATAGGATGTATTTTGGAGTAGGGGTCTTATGTTTAATATTACAGACAAATTTCAGCTTAATATGTTCATGGACTGTAATAATTATAATTACAGCAATTTCAATATAAATAATTTAGTGATTCCACCACTAATGAACTACTTCTAAATACTTTATTCTTAGGAAACTCTTAGGAGGGTTGTCATAAGTTAAAATTGACTTGCTGGCAAATAATAATAATAATTAATATTAATATTAATAGTACTACTACTACTATTACTACTACTACTACTACTAGTAGTAGTAGTAGTAGTAGAAACTAAGTACTTTTCAAACCCTTTGAACTATAACTCTAATTACTTTCACCCCTCTTTATTCACACAACAATTCTGCAAGTTTCTCAGGTGAAAGAATGTGACTGACCCAAGTGATTCACTGAGTTTCACAATCAAGAAAGAATTTAAATCCAAGTCTCCTGAATCTAGTCCAGTACTCAAAAAGCAAAAAACAATGCTGTTTATATACCGCCCCATAGCACTTCAAACACTCTCAGGGCGTTTTACAAGTTAATTTTGCATTGCCCCCCACCAGCGAGCTGGGTACTCATTGTGCTGACCTCAGAAGGATAGAAAGCTGAGTCAACCTTGAGCCAGCTACCTGGGATTGAACCCCAGATCGTGAGCACAGTTTTGGCTGCAGTACAGAAGTTTAACAACTGCGCCACGAGGCTCAAATGGTACTACCTTTTTTTAAAAATAGAAAGAGCAAATATTGTTCTAGTTCATGAACAGGTTCCCAAAGATGCCTTTAAAGGGAAAACTTAGTGAAGTTACCTATTGGGTTTTGGGAAGTTGCACCTTGCTACCATTTTTTATTCACACTAAGCTTTCATATTGTTCTCTTTCCCTGTGATTGGAACATGTTATTTCAAAAAGCAAGGTCAATATCAGAACCAAGGAAGGAAAATCATATTCCAGTCATAATGCTTATCTGCTGGACCATGTTGTTGTTGCGATTTGCTGTCACATTGCCTCTAATTTATTTTATTTATTTATTCAATTTTTACCCCGCCCCTCTAGACAGCATCTAACTCTTGACGACCCTATGAATTAATCTCCAGAGATTTGTCAGAAAAAATAAATTGGTTGTAGATCACATCAAACCTGAATTCTCACTATTAGTTAAAGTGACTAAACTGAGGCTATCATATTTCAGGGTAGATCAGGAGAAAACAAAATTCACTAGAAAAGACAATATATATTGGAAAAAGAAAGGCAGTAGGAGAAAAGAAAGAACTAATTTCAGATTGGTTGCCTTAATAAAGAAGCCACAGGGTTTAGTTTGCACAACCTGAGCAAGCTAAGTTACTGACAGGACATTCTTGAGGTCATTAATTGTTATAATTGCCATATATTGGAAGTGACTTGACAATACTACAGTGATACGTACTGTCATCCTCACTACTTTGTCCTTAGGATGGAATGCTCTTTCCCAGGCCGTTCCTTAGCAACCATGCTGTGGCAAAAAGTGGCTTCAGCTTCAATGGCCAATTGCTGCGCTTTATTATGCTGCACACAGAATACCCTTTTACGTTGACTGGAATTTCCACCTTTATGCTGGTCAAAATCCCTATTCTTTTGAGTTTTACACTGTGTCCAAAAATGACCTTTTTCACCACAAGCATAACACTGTTTACTGGTTTGGGGTTCAGTATAAAGGGCCTTGTTAACCTTTCCCTCAGAACTATTTGGTTTCAGTTGACTGTGCTCTGTGGATGAGGGCTTGTTTCTAAAATGGCTTCCAGCAGCTTGGGTACTTCTGAGGTAATCTATACTGGGTGGGGGCCCTCTCCTGTCATCCCACACTTGTCTACCAATTTTTACCTAAAAAAATCGAGGATCTCTGATCTCTCTAATTGAATCAGCATATTCAGACACCTGTAATACATTTTAGGATCTTTGTCCTTGACCAGATAACGCAATTCCCCTGGAAAAATGGAATAAAACTGTTCTAATCCAATCACATTTTTCATTTGTTCTAAGGTAGAGCCATATGCCTGTTCCAATCATTTATTGCGCAATTGCGTCAAACGTGCTCCAAGATGGATAAAAGACTCCTCAGGTTTCTTTGAAATGGATCTAAATTTCCTCTGAGGTACTCTGAATTAATTCCAAATCTGGAATACACAATTTTTCTATATGCCTCAAAATCTCTAGCCTGCCCCAGAGGCATATGAGAATAAAACTCAGCTAACACCTCACTTATTTGTGATCTCAGAATTATCATCCTCTTATCATCTTTCACCTCAAAGCCCCAACAAGCTCTCTCAAATGAAATCAGGAAAGATTCAGGACTATCTCCATTCCTATATTGGGGAAATTTCTTTAGGTCTACCATATTTCCCGGCGTATAAGACGACCCCCCCAACATTTCCACTCAAAATATAGAGTGGACAGCTCTGCTGCGGCGCCAGCTACCCGGGACTCTGCCCGGGCCCTCCCTGGAAGTTCAGTGGGCAGCGGCAGCAGAGGAGGAGGAGGGGAAACGGCTCTCCGGCAGTGGGCGGGCAAGCGAGCAGCTGGCTCACCGGAGAGGAAGAGGAGAAGCGGCCGGGCGGGCCCGAGGAGGGCGAGGAGGAAAGTGGGCGGGTGGGCAGCAGCAGCGGAGGAGGAGGGGAAGTGGCTCTCTGGTGGCAGGCTCTAGCTGCTCAGGCATGGCCAGCTCTGCTTCCCTCCCTCCATCCGGACCAACCGCCTGCCTGCCTGCCTTCCTTCCTCCCTGACCGGCGCGGCCCTGTGTCACTCACTCAATGGCAGCGGCTCCTTCCTGGCCCAACTGAAGTGCACCCGGCGTATAAGGTGATCCCCCCCCCAATTTGGAGGCATGTTTTTTGGGCCAAAAAAAGTCATCTTATACGCTGGCAAATATTATGGACAGATTTCCCACAGATAAATTATTATTATTGTTTTGAGCATCTAATTCCAGTTTCTTCATCTCTATTTGAAATTGCATTTCTCTTTGCCTGTTTTCCAGCTCAAATTCCCTTTCCCTTTCTTTTAATTCCATTTGCCTGGCCTCAGCTCTCTCTCTCTCTCCTTAATATCTACCAGCTGACATCAATTGTGACGCGGCTCTCATGTGTCCCCAGGTTGTTTCACTAGCCTGAAGCCCACAACACATTCTCTCCTTTACACTGCCACCAGCTGACCTCTGTCAACACCCTTTAATTAGAAAGGTTGAGGTATAAAGTTGAACAACACAGGTTTATTGATTAGTTTGCTTAAACAGGTCCTTCACAGACTTTAATGTATTCATTAGATTAGTAATAACTTGTTTCACTCTTAACTCCTTTAGCTCTTTATAAGTTCCACACTCTTAACTCCTAACTCTGCCACACTCTCTAACTACCAGGGACTAATTTATCCTTTAGACTCCATCTCTGACTCTCACCAACTGAACTCCCCAGACTCCGACTCACCCCTCCCTTCTAGTTTATCTGGCTCCGCCTCCCAACAGCTCTCATTGGTGTATGCAAATAATCTCATACATGAGCCAAAGCAGGGTGGTCGCCACAGCATGATTCTATGAATGGTTCTGCAGCTTGTGATCTGCTTGCCACTCCTGGCAGGACAAGCCTCGCTGCAAGGTTGAAGAGTGGTGAGCGGATCGCACACTGCTGAGCCATTCATAGAATCACATTGTCTGCATCAGATCAGTGAGTTAACACCACCTGTGCGGGAATATTCGTTATCATATACAAATACCCTCATCTCTAATTGAAAGGCAAAGGGAGAAAGGCAGTTCATTCTTGTTGGGGATAACAATTGGATTCAGATGGTGCCTGTTGCACTTTGCAAATACATTTATTATAGCATGAGCTTTTCTAGACAACCAGCTGCTTCATCAAATGCAAAAAAAAAGTTATCTAGGATTTCAGCATATACACAGTAAACATGATCTGAAATACCATGTTAGAGAGATCAAATAGAAATGAGAAGCAAAGCATTGGCAGCCAAAATTAATTCTTCAACACCCGCCATTCACAATACAGCTTTTATAAAAATAATCTGTGCTCCCCTCCCACAGCTGGGCATACTATATACTTCTTTCAAATTGTTGACATTACTTCCCACACCTAATGGACTATAACCTATGAAAGCTTGTTTCATCATAAATTTGTTAATCACTCGTTATTTCTCAAATATGCATCGCCTACAAGACATATTTTTATTTTCACTTCAACGCCTTCAAGGTAGCTATTTTGAGGTGAAGTGTTCCCTCTGCTCAGACCACAGGCCGGCCCAGGTTTAAATTTAAAATCTTCACTCTCCTGTAACTTCAATTTTATCACATTCTTGTAGTTCCTCAACGGGTGACCAACTGTGAAAGCTGATCCTTACGCTCAACGGGACAATATTAAAGCCCAAACGCACGCGCTGCTCAGGGCGCACGCGCCACCTGAGATTATGATCGTTGACGTTAGTGAAAAAGAGATAGACGAGGGGAACGGTCACGCTCAGGCGCGCCCTCTGATGGCGTCACTTCCGGTCGGCCTCACTCTGGTTCCGAGACAGAACGAGAGCTCAGCCATAGAGATGGCCTCGTTCAAGCAGTTCCGGTGTACTTCCGGAGGGCTCCACCTCCTTTCTCTTTCTCTCCGGAGACGGGGGGGAGGGGGAAGACGACAGAGGAGGCAGTGGGCCTGCGGCGGGCTGAACTGCGCCGCTCTGCGCCGGGGCAACTGTTTCTCCTCGCCTTCTCGAATCACCCGTCTCCGAGTAAGTTGAAAGAGGCGCTTGGGCTTCGGGCTGCCGGAGCGGAGGAGGCGAGGCGTGTCGGGCTTCTCTCGAGGCAGTCGTAGATCCTCTTGGGGCTTCCTTTCCGCACAGGCGAGGCTCCAGTTCGGGTGGGCGTTTGAGGGAAGGGCGAAGGAGGAGGAACTCGGTTTTGAAGTATTAGGTATCCCGCTCGGGCTCCTGAGGTGGGGACGCGTGGCTCTCCACGAAGCCTTTGGATGAGCAGAGTTCTGGCGCAGAAGAGCGGCTCTAGTCGTGAAGGGATGGGCATCTTTACGGAGTTGTGTCGTTTGTGGTCTCCGGGGGAGTCGGGCTCCCATCGCCGCCCCTCCTGTCCCAGATATTTTGTGTTAAAAAGTAACGACGGATCACAAGTGAAGTCTTGACGTTACTGCTCCCCCCCCCCGACTTATTTACTCCATTTCAATTAGGATCTGTGTTACTTGGTAGAGAGAGTAGATGTTCCCTAAACATTTAAAGCAAAAGAACTTTGTGCAAGACTAGCCTGGATATGCACAAAGAAGTTACTGTACAGGCTTTGTTGGTGGGATTTTTAATCATCTAGACTCCCCTAGCCTAGACTGAACTGTGTTAGGAAGACATTGTACTTATGAAAACAATTGATAGGTGTAACATTGTGAAAATCAATTTGCCTCTTGCTGTTAACGGAAACCATTCCATCATTTTATTAATGATTGCAAACCATTCCGTCATTTTATTAATTTCCCCTTTCTAAAAAAAATTGTAGAGGGGGCAGTATTAGGTTCAGGCAGCCCTGTGCCTTATGAATGTTTTTGGAAATAGTATTTAAGGGCTTTACAGCAGCAGTGAGGTAGAACTTGCCTCAAGCACACACAGGGATATGACAAATTGGAATTTCTGAAGGCAAGGTGTCAGATACACATGTTTACATGCTAAAACTGGTTATATTGAATGATTACTGGGCTGGGTGTATCAGAAATCTGGTAAAATGGGTTGGGTAAAATGATCCATCAGAGAAAAGTACAGTATAAAATAAACTAAATCACCTGATTGATGAGAGCTGCTGTTTCTATTGGTTAGTGTTGTGCTGCTGTGAAAAGTCAAGGTTGCTTTAAAATTATCTGTTACTGCTTCACAGAAGAGTCTGCTGTACAAGCTTGTCTTACAGAACAAGAGCCAGCACAATATTATTGGGAGAGAAAAGCAACTACATTTTCTTTCTTCTGGAAGAAAATTGAACTAGTCTTTCCCTTCATTTCACATTGCTTTCCAGGAGAATAGCATCAAGATGTCACTTTTTAAAAAAATATGGTTGGGAAGGGCCAGTGTTTTTAATCAGCAGAGACTGGGCAGCACAAGGGGAAATCTCTGTCCTGTCATCTGGGACTTGGGACAAAGTAATACGCATGTCAGCATTGCTTCAAGAAAAAAAGATGAATGAGGAAGGAGTGAATCTCAGGAAAGGGTTTCATTTCTTTTATATAGAGGCATGGCAGGCACTTTCTGCAAGAAAAACTTCTCCTTTTCTGTTTTCTCTTTCTCCTTATTGCACTTTTTGTAAGTATCAGCACTGAGACACATCTGAAGCAGTCAACATATGAGAGTAATTTCACTTGTACTTCGTCCCACTAAGGATGAGGAGGAGAGCAGAGGTGGCTTCCTCCCTCTTGTAAACCCCTTGATTATGGTCTCTGGCAAAATCCTAGTGAGAAAGTAAAGGTGCTGCCTTCTTGAAGCAAAGAGAAGTTGTGCAGAACAAGGCGTGATTCTGCTAGTTCGTTTCATAGGTTATGGTATCTTGCTGATCCTTTCTGCGAAATGACAGTTTGCAGGAAACAAACCACCTCATCCCTTTTCACACAAACCAGATTATTTAATAAATAAAGGTGTAATAAGGGCAATCCTCTGTTAGGACGCCAGTATTGAGGTGTCTTAAAGTAAGTCCACAGTGGCTGCATTTGCTGTGCTGTTACCCCTGAACAGTTCCATGTTTTGAACTGTTCAGATTACGAAAAATAAAGACATGTAGAGGAGATGTAAACAATCTTCTTTTTACTACAGTTTTCATTAGCTCCAGCTATCTAATCGGTGAGATGATGGAGGTCATAGTGCAAATTATATGGAGAATGCCAGATTGCCTTGCTTTATAAAACTGTGCCTGCTGTGGAACAAATTGGCAGATATCACCCTTCCCCACATTCCTGGAAGTTATTCTCACCCAGTGACACTGAAAAGCAGTAGATTCAGGGAAGAGTGTTATTTCATATCAGTTTATGGAATTCACTGCCATTAGATGATGATGTTTGCTTGTTTAGATGACTCTGGTTAGACAAATTCATTATGCATAATGACTAAATCGAGGTTGTATTTTCAGAGGAACAAATAGAAAAGGTGATTGTTGTCTTTATTTCGTGCTGCAGGGTTTCTGTGAGTATTTGCCTGTGTTTGGTAGGAACCAGGAGGCTGCATGGAGTATGCTCTGGGGCAGATCAAGAGTGATTACTTTTATATTCTTTGCACTACAAGGAAAGATTTTGTTCATGTTAAACAGCTGCAAAACAATTGTGTACTGGGAAGAGTCTTCACATCAGTTGGAGATAGAATGCAAATAATATACAATAATTGTGGTCTAAAAATGGACCTTGGTTGTACATTTTTTTTACCAAATTCTCAAATCCCACTAGATTCTATAGAATAGAAGGCATGGGATTTCATAGGCAATATACATTCCAACTATTTGTTGCTATATGAGGTAGGTAGGTAAAGCAACCACCTTCCCTTCCTCAACTTCACAGTTATAATAGTCATGAGCTGGCAAGTCAATTCTGACTTGTGGCAACCTTTTTCAGGGTTTTCCAGATAGAGAATACTCAGAACTGGTTTGCCATTCCTTTCTTCTTGAGGATGCCCTTGGAATGTGCAGTTTGCCCTAGGCTACACAGGTTGGCTCTACTCACAGGAGGCACAGTGAGAATTGAACTCGCAACCTCTGGCTCAGCAGCTGGATACCTAAACCAGTGAATTATTATAGCTGAAATAGTCATGTTGAAGCACTAGCATGTATGTGGATTTCTTGGATGGTGAAGAGGCCAGGGTCCCTCCAACCTATTCTGCAATGAATTTTTTGAGACTTTGCCTTCCACCTCTGTCCAATTTCCCAAATTCATTAGATAGAGAGAAAGTTATAACTTTCCCATCCCTGCCTTCTGAGGGAGGAGTCTTTGTGTCTGTAGCCTCTGCCCACTCAACCAATATTTGGTGCAGCCCTTGAAACAAAAAAAATTGTGAATTCCTGCCTTAAAAGTTTAATTTTGAAAACAGAATTACTTTGCTTTATTCTACATGTATCTAATTCTTTCTTCAAATTATGCTACTCTTTCTTCAAATTGTGCTATTATAGCAGACAATAAATAATATCATGTTAAAGTGGTGATATGTTTACTTTCAGAATTACTATTCTTAGTTTGTGTAATGGTGTTGTCAGTGGTGTTAGTGAATCATAAGTATTCCATGATGCAGTAGCATTAATGGCATCTGAATAGATTCTGAGTGGTTGAAATAGCCAAGTCTGCTTTGATCTTCTGAAAGTTTTTGGAAACATGGAATTTATGTTTATGTATCTGGATATTAGCAGGAAAAGGATATTCTGATAATGTATTGATTGCCAGAAATTTGACTGAAGTTAGTAGCTTTTAATTCAGATGTTAGCATTTTGAGTGGATTTATTTTAGTTGCCTGATTTTGTTGTTTTAAAATATTTCCTGTAGGTAGAAGAATACATGTTTACTTTCAGCACAGAAGAGCATGTTCCCAAATTCTTCCATCTTGGGTTGTCCACCCCATCCACTAGAACGCCAACAGTACAATTTCCTCATTAATCTTCCAGTAAACATTTCTCCTGCTCTTTTTCACCAGCAGTTCCAGAGAACAGCGTAAGTATGGTGGAGCTTGAAAAAGAAGCATGAAAAGCTTGTGCTTTCGAAATAAACCTCAGGGTTTTTAAAGCCTTATTTATTTTTTATTAAATTTATACCCCACCCATTTAGACCATGTATACTCTGGGCGGCTTACAATAAAAAATAGCATAGGAACAATAATTAAAACAATTTAAACAGCACTAATGATATCATTCAAGATGGCAAGGTAGAGATCAAGATAGAAAAGTAAAAAGTAAAAATCAAGTAGTGATATGAAGGAAGGCCTGCCTAAAGAGCCGGGTCTTAAGTTGGCTCTTGAAAGCATCCATGGAGGGAGCCAGGCACATCTCTTACAGGAGACTGTTCCAAAGTCAAGGGGCCACTGCCGAGAAGGCCCGGGTTCTTCTTTCTTTCCAGGCCTCCCTTGGTGTTAGGTCCCTCAACCGTCTTTCCTGACTATAATGAGTCGAGTACAGTGGACCCTCGACTTACAGACTTTTCGAGTTACAGACTTCTCTGGCCACAAAATTTAGATTCGACTTGCAGCCAGAGAATCGACTTACAAACCAGAACAAAGCCAAAATGGAACAAAAATAGAATAAAAACTGCCAGTTATGGGATTAATCGGTTTTCAATGCATTGTAGGTCAATGGAGATTCGACCTACAGACTTTTCGACTTGCAGCCACTGTTCCAATACGGATTAATTCCATAAGTAGAGGGTCCACTGTAGATCTAGGTGGGAGAAGACGTTTTGCTAGATATTGACGTCCTAAACAGTTTAGGGCTTTATACGCCATCATTAACACTTTGAAATCAATGTGGAAACGAACAGCCAGCCAGAGTGGGGGAAATAGGTTGATGTTTTCTCGTCCCACTAAGAAGTCTGGCCACCGCATTCTGCACCATTTGAAGCTTCCGCATCAGTTTCAAAGGTAGCCCCATGTAGAGCGCATTGCAGTGGTTTAATCTCAAGATTACAAGCACATGGACCAAAGTGATGAGCGCCCCCCATCAAGATAGGGATGCAGCTGGGCAATCTGCCACAGATGGAAATAGGCGGAACAGACCAGTGACGCCACCTGGGTTTCCATGGTGAGCGCCGGATTCAGATGAACCCCCCAAGCTGCGAACCTCACTCTTCGCGGTGAGAGTCACTCCCCCAAAAGAGAGGGAGTTTCCCAAACCAGCAATGGAGGGGCTGCCCACCCTCAGGACCTCCATCTTATCCGGGTTCAGCCTCAGCCCATTCTCCTGCATCCATTGCAGTACAGCCTCCATACAGCACTGAAGGGACAGAACAGCATCCACTGAGGTTAGTAAAAAGGAGATGTAGAGCTGAGTGTCATCAGCATACTGATGGCATGAAGCCCCACACTCCCTGATGACTCCACCCAGTGGCCTCATATAGATATTAAACAGCATTGGGGAGATAATCGAACCCTGTGGAACCCCACAATTGAGACTCCACGGGGCTAAAACACTCTCCCCAAGCTGTCCTCTCTGGGGACGGTTGTCCAAGAAGGATCAGAGCCAAGCAAGTGCCAGCCCACCGATTCCCAACTCAGAGATCCTCCCCAGGAGAATACCGTGGTCAATGGTATCGAAGGCAGCTGAGGTATCAAGGAGGACCAACAAAGACAGCCTCCCTCAGCAGGTCATCCAACAGTGCGACCAATGCTGTTTCTGTGTCATGGCATTATTACAGAAGCCATCTCAAATTACTGTAATAACATTTCCACATCCAAATTGGGCTTTTAGCCCAGTTTGCAGGGTGGATAAAAATCAAGGATTTTTTTTTAAAAAATCAAATTAATTTAAATTACAATTTAAATCTTTTTAAAAAATCAAAATTTTAAAAACCTGCTTTTTTAATTCAAACTGTGACTTAAACTAATTTGATTTAAATCAGACCCACCTTACTCAGTTGAGACATTAAAAATCCATTTGAGCTATGTGATTCATCTGAATAAAACAGGTGAAAAAACACCTGTTACAAGGACAGGTAATTCTTCATAGAGCTGCCATATTTTGAAGGGGATTTGATGGCATGAAGGACAGATCCTGAAGCTGAGGCTCCAATACTTTGGCCATCTCACGAGAAGAGAAGACTCCGTGGAAAAGACCCTGATGTTGGGAAAGTGTGAGGGCAAGAGGAGAAGAGGACAACAGAGGACAATATGGTTGGACAGTATCAGCGAAGCTACCAACAGGAATTTGACCCAACTCCGGGAGGCAGGGGAAGACAGGAGGGCCTGCCGTGCTCTGGTCCTTGGGGTCACAAAGAGTTGGACACGACTAAATGACTAAACAAGAAAAACAACAGCATGTGCGTGTGGTATCATTAGAGGCAAGCATGAACTTCCCCCATCTGCCTGGCTAATCGCCTCTCACTAGTTGGAGTGCACTTCGCTCCTTTTCTTTGGCTGTTTAGCTAGTCCCTGACGGAGCACGGCGTTGCCTGTCCCACCTCCTTCTCTGAGTGGACGATCAGCCAAGGAGGAGGCAGGAGACTGGCTAAACAAAAGGAGTGAAGTGTGCACTGACTGCGGAGATGGGGGAAGGTAATGCATGGCATCTGTGGTGCTGTCCGTATGAACTGGCTGAACTTCCAAACTGAGGTTCGTGCCCATCAATCCAGCCCCTCATATAAGCAACTGTGTAATTGTTTGCATTTTTAGAAGACCTCAGTCTTGTGTAAGTGATACCACATTTTCATTTTCCTAGAGGTTTGGTGAGTGGAAATCTTCCAAGCATCCCAACTGTTTCACCACCATCCTTTGCCTATAGAAATGGCAGCCCAGTGCATGCATCAGGTACACCTACATCATTCAGAGGCAGAAAGTAAGTACATTATATATATAATTAAGGACAATTTTATAATTAGGGACAAGTTACAGTCATATTGTGTTGGAATAATATATACAGGGCTTGAAAAATTGTAGAATGTCTCACCAGTCAGCATGACCAGACTATAGCCTTGCAATTTATTGGGATTGGGAATCACTGATTTATACCCTCAGACTTGGATTGCTTTATTACCTCCGTGCCTGTGAGGTCATGAAGCTTGTATTTTGAATGGCTTTCTTTTGAATGGCTCTAGCAAAAATAAAACTGAAATCAAAAGCGTCCAGCCTCTTAAGGAGTCACGGGTTCCCTCCCACCCCAGAATGTGTCCTTGTTCAATTGAAACTGGGAGCAGGGAATCTCCATATTCTCCAGCATGGGGCTGCTTTACATTCTCCTGCAGAGCTATCTCTATGTGCCGCTTGAACTCTGTTCTTGCGAGAATAGGGCATTTTTCCTTTTGAAATGGGAGGGAGGGGAGGACTGCAGGACTAGAGAGAGACAGACAGTCAGAGGGGAAGGAGGCAGGCAGGGAGGGAGCTGTGACTCATCCAGCAGCATTTTTCACCTGCTTCGTCCTGCGCTGCAGAACCTTTCTGAAATGGCTGATCACATTGTCGTTCATCATGTCCAAAACTCTGCCTGTCACAGTTCTGTTTGGGTGATGCCTCTCAAAGAAGTCCTGGCACTTGTTCCATTTCTTGCAGATGGCTCTTATCTCTTCACTGCTAACCTGCGCTTCCTCTTCCTCAGTGTTCTGCTGCTCGCTTTGCAGTTCTGCAAGTTCTTCCGTCATCAACTCCTCTTCATGGTCTTCAACCAGCTCCTCTACATCCTCTTTATCGACATCCAGACCCATTCCCTCACCCATGGAGATGATGTCCCTCACCACCTGTGCATCAGTCACTTCATTGCCATTGTCTGTGGCACATTTTGGCCACAGTTTCCTCCAGGCTGAGTTCAAGGTCTGAGTTGTGACATCTTGCCAGGCCTTGTCAATGAGTCTGATGCAGTGGAGGACATTGAAATGTGACTTCCAGAACTCTTTCAGGGTCAAGGACGTCTCCTTAGTGAAACACCTGGTGAAGAGAGCCTTTGTGTAGAGCTTCTTGAAATTACCGGTCACTTGCTGGTCCATGGGCTGCAGAAGGGGTGTTGTGTTGGGGGGGAGGAACTTGACCCTGATGAAGTCATACTCATCAAGATCATCCACCAAGGATGGCAGGATGTGCCGGGGCATTGTCCATCAGCAGAAGGCACCTTTCAGGAAGCTGGTTGTCAGAAAGATATTTTTTGTCAGTGGGTGCAAACACTTCATAGAACCAGTCCAGAAACAGCTGTCTTGTCATCCAAGCTCTTGTGTTGGCCCTCCACACGACAGGCAGTGTGGCCTTGTTAACGTTCTCTCAGTGGAATGGGCGAGGAGTCTGGGAGTGGTACACCAGCAGAGGCTTGATCTTCAGATCACCGGTGGCATTGGCACACAGCAGAAGGGTCAATCTGTACTTCATGGGTTTGTGGCCCAGCATTTTCTGTTCCTCCTGAGTGATGAAGGTTCTGCTGGGCATCTTCTTCCAGAACAGCCCTGTCTCATCACAGTTGAAGACTTGCTGGGTGAGGTAGTCGTCTTAATGAATGTGGCAAAGTCCAACTTGAAGGCTTCTGCAGCAGCATCAGAACTTGCAGCCTCCCCATGTCTTACCACGCTGTGGATGCCACTTCTCTTTTGGAACTTTTGAAACCACCCCCTGCTGGCTTGAATTCTTCTTGCGGTGCACTTCTGGAGGGATTTCTTTCCATCAAATCACTGTGCAGCTTCTTGGCTTTCTCACAAATCATGGCTTCACTGATGCTTCCCCTTTCAGCTGTTTCTCATTCATCCACACCAGTAAAAGTTTTTCCACCTCTTCAATCACGGGTGACCTGTTCTTTGTTAGGATTGTGACTTCTTTTGCCAGATCAGTTTCTTTCAAGACATCTTTCTTCTTCAATATGGTGGAGATGATTGACTTTGGCATCTTGTATTCAGAGGCCACTTTAGTCACACGCATGCCACGCTCATGCTTTTTGATGATGCCCTTTTTCACTTCAATGGAGATGACTTTCTTCATTATATAAATAAGGCCAAAGGATTTATTAAAATAAACTCCTTGAATAGATTGCTACCAACGCCATACTTAAATGATTTGGAATGCCTTTATATTTATTTATTTATTCATTCATTCATTCATTCATTCATTCATTCATTCATTCATTCATTCATTCATTTATACCCCACCTATCTAGTCATTTCGACCACTCTAGGCGTATGGACTTTTTGCCATGTGTGATGTTACTGGGAAGATACATATTTAAAGTCCTTCTAAACTTTACAAAAGTATTCACACAGAGTCTTTTCATAATTTACCCAAACTCACACCCAGTTTGAAGACAAGCATTTTCTGTTTGCTGTGGTGAAAGCTATATAGTGGTGCCTCGACTTAACGACCATAATCCGTTCTATAAGATTGTAATTGTGTATATATTAATGGCAGTAGGGATACATTTATCCCTAGAAACACCTTGTGGTATATGTGCCTTTCTTTCTTGATTCAAGGGATCAAATGTCTACACATCTGTTCATAGGTTGTTTTAACTTGCCACAAAGTGAATTTATCCTCCAGAATTCTCTCTTTGAAGTTTCACTAATTATCAGTAGAAACTACTGATTGCCTCTTTTCTGGGAATCTTTCTTTAGCCTAGTGCATGGTGCCCTTTCACTTTGTTTCTAGCAGACTCTATATCTTCCAGTGCCATTTAAAGGCCTACCTTTGGTCAAATGTTAGTTTTGGATAACTTATATTTCAATTTCATCTAGCACACTTTGTTTCTAGCAGACTCTATATCTTCTAGTGCCATTTAAAGGCCTACCTTCCATTATGATCCGTCTCTGGACTGCAGCTTGGAGATCTCTTGACCACATGCAGTTAGCTGCAGCTAAGACTGAAATATTGTAGTACGATTTGCTGCATGTCCATTGGGAACCCTTGCCAGTATTTTTCTAATCACAAGTATGTGAGTCATTGTAATGTTACATCAGAAAGTCTCTGGTTTATTTTGTAGTTCTAAAAAGAGTTATAAAAATCATGCCAAACATGTAAAGGTTGTGGTAAGCAAGAGCTTGGAACACAGGTTGATGTAAATGCATACATCTGTAAATGCTGCCAAATGAAATAGAGGTTCTGTTTTGCCCAGATGAAACACTTTACTGTCTGTACAGTCTAAACCTGCACAGACAGATTCTACATTTTGAATGGATCTTGTGGTAAGTTTTTCTATCTCTTCCCTCTTTCTTCCCAGCACTGGGAACCCATTTTATACAGTTTCTCACTGCAGCACTGTGATCTCTTGAACAAGGAGTATTTCAGAAAGAGAACTGCATATGCTTTGCATGAGAATGGTTTGGTCAAATGTTAGTTTTGGATAACTTGTATTTCAATTTCATCTAGCGTTGTCTTTCAGTGGGACACAAATTAAGCAGTTATATACAGTAGTCTTTTCCTATCCCTGTTGAAAGCTTCATTTGTTCAGCATCAAGGTTGGGTGGGCATTCCTCTTGAAAAGGGTAACATACTATCTTGATTGAATAGTTATGTGATTAACTGATAGTATTTGTAGTTGTAGTCAGTGTTTTTATTGCATACTTTAAGCAGCAAAGGCGGAGTAACTGATCTCCTCCTCATGTTCCTAGGAGGCTGAAAGAACAGAACATTCCTTATGAAGTGAAGCGCCAGCGATTTCATTCACCTCATCATGAATCACCTTCAGCTAACCAAGCAGTGCCTTTACCAGATGATCAGAGGCATTCATGCCCTAGATCAATTCCTTCGCCATTATTTCAAGCAAATTACATCTCTGATTTAATGCAATATGTGCCACCCTTGCGAGAAGCTTCTTTTCCTGACCCTGTAGAAAGTGCAGTCCCTCTGGCCAAAGATAAGGTAAGACTGGCACAAGACTTTATTTTGGTTTTGCTCTGCTTTATCTAGTTATTGTGCAAACTAGTGAATTCCAAGCATAACGTTGGGACTGTGGCTGAGTTGTGTTTTGAACTGTTGGAGTAAAGATGTCATCCACATCCACTGTGCTGACTTTCAGAAAGAGGAGGCCTTCCATAGTAATGATGCCCAATTATATTGCTAACTGTCTACCTGAGGGCAGTGCTGTCATTCTGAGGGGTGGAAGAAGAGTAATATTCTTTAAAAATATAGTGCTAGAACCGAATGTAGTTGGTGAAATCTCTGAAGTAACTTCACTGCCAGCAAAGCGCCGTCATGCTGTCAGGTCTTGACTGATTGCAGTGGGAATAGCAAAATGCTGAGGGGTGACAGTAACTATGCACAAGCTTTCATTTTTGTTTGGATGCCATGGCCCAGAATTCTCAGACATCTGGGAACTCCCAGACAGACACCTAAATTGTTCCTGCCAGGAGAAAGCCTGTGGCCCAGGATAGGCTGAGGTCAGGCCTAATTTTCTGTTGGAAAAAGAAGCTGCTGGGGCAGTTTCATACCGGCTGAAAATTGCAGTGGACCAGGATTGGCAGTGGTAATTTGGAGGCATTAAAGAGTTCTCTTCCCTGTTAGATGGCTCCCAAAGACTTCCCCAGGATGAAAGGAATCTGTAGGAATTCCTGGAACCTTTGGAAGGTGGATTTAATAAGTTTTCACTTCACTTGACATGGCCATGGCAAAATGGTGCCATGAAAACTGTGTGCTGAAGCTTTGCCAACAGGATTCTAGCCATTATATTTCATAGAGGAAAGTGTGCTAAGTCACAAGTGGGGTAAGGGCAGGGGTCTACGTTCCATCTGTACAGATGGAAGCTTGGAATTGATGCTGAGCTTGGAACAAGCTATTTACAAATATTTGTGTGTAATTATTTTACTAGTATTGGAAGTTACAACTAAGTTACATTATTAAGGTAATTTAACAAGGGATAACAATGTTCTTTTTATAATACAATTGTAAGTCTTAAAGTTGTTTTTATGGTCAGCGGGTGTGAATCAGATGTTAGAGAAGGAATATCTCATGGTTCAAATGCTGTCTTATATTGTGCCTCATGCTGATGGGATTCCGCAGAAGGCAGCTTTCCTAAAAGGGTTGCGTAAATGCAGAAATTCAACAGTTTTGATACTTGTATAGAGAAGATTGTGTTGAAATTGTGTATTAAACGTAGTAGTGTGTTTTATGTATTTAAAGCTAAGTCAACAAATACTGGAGTTATTTCAAGCATGTCAGCAACAAATCAGTGACTTGAACAAAAAAGAGCTCTGCCGAACACAACTCCAAAGGGACATTCAGCAGATATTTCCAAGTACGTTGCAGTTTTTAACTAGTGAAATACTGAACACTTTTAGTAAGAGACTTCTTAAAAAATATGGGCTTAATCTGTTCTGTGGTTCATGCCTTGCAGATAGTAGACTAGTTTTGGTTGGATCCTCACTAAATGGATTTGGTACTCGCAGTAGTGACGGTGATTTGTGCCTGGTGGTCAAACAGGAGCCAGTAAGTACAGAGAGGGAAACCCCATGCTCAATATGATATATAAAGTGTGATGTAGTGTATAGAGTGATGGACTAGGACTCTGACGAGCAGGGTTCAAATCCCTGCTCAATCATGGAAACTCACTGGGAGAGTAGAACTGGTAAAATCATTCCTTAAAAAGCTCTCACCTTGAAAACTGTATTTGGGCTGCTATAAATCATTTACAACTCGACAACACAGAACACACATAGTTTTCAGTTTCTGTGTTTCTTCCGAGATACCTTAAATAAGCTTATATAGGTTGCTTGAATAAATTTTAGATTTTGAATGCATTTTAGAATATAATTGTGGTCCCTTCCTGTAATCTTGGCAATGTTTTGCTGGGAAGAGAGAGCAGATATTCTATTTAAAAGGAATGTGTCATGAATTTCTAAAGTTACTTTCACAAGAAATACTTAGATCTGGGTCTTTTTTGTGTTTTCTATCCATGCATGATCATGTGTCCTGCATGATGAATACAATTACTTAATCGTCTGTTCTGCATAGTGATCAGTCAGGTACATAAAACCAATACACATGCAGTCCATATACTCTCTTTTGTGTGGGATGGAAGTATACCTGTTTTTGAAGAAGACAAGAATGTGACACTGTGGAGATCTGTACAACTCATAACATCAAGTAGACATGGTCTAGAGGGGCGGGGTAAAAATCCAATAAATAAAAAAATAAAAAAATAAATCAATAATGTTTTTAGACAAGGAAAGACACATCTGCACCCTATGGTCCTCTTTAACAACAGCAGGGCAGTCAGTGATGAATGTGCATCTTTTAAAATATTGTCTTTTCATAAAAATGGAGAAGTCACTTCCACTGGATAATTCAAGTAAAATAAAGTTATCACATTTCTGGCCACTACCATTTGAATTAAAATTGTGGTTTCCTGTATTGCATTCATATCACTTGCAAAAGCTGGTAACAAAGGAATGTGGTAGCAATACTAATTATGGAAATATAGCTCATAGATAAGGTGTTTCCATTTGTATTCTAGAAGCTGCAGTGTAACTGCTGAGGTTTCAGTTTCATTCTGTTACTTTGGCTGGTACAGTGGGGTCTTGACTTAAGAACGGCCTGAGTTACGAACATTTTGACTTACGAACCGCTCTCATAGGAAAATATTGACTTGACTTATGTACTTAGATTTGAGTTACGAACTGAAAAAAACTGAAAAAACACATGGGAGGCAGGGAAAGTGCAAAATTTGAACTTTCAGTTAACTGTTGGCCAGTGAAAAGGGTGCCTGTCTGCTTCCTCACTCCTCCCAGCGTTTAGAGAGTGGATTGGTACTGTACTGCCTGGACTGTATTTTCCCTGCCTTCCCTGAACCTTTCTTGACCTAAGAAAAAAAGAAACAAAATATCCCCCTCTAGTGGTTGAAGGCGGAATAGCAGCTTCCCATTAGTTTCTATGGACGGAAAAGAGCAGATACGGATTAAATGGTTCTCAATGCATTCCTATGGGAAATGCAGATTTGAGCTGAGAACTTTTTGACTTGAGAACCGCCTTCCAATACGGATTAAGTTCTCAAGTCAAGACCCCACTGTATACCCTCTGAAATTGTGGGGCATAGTAACAGCATCATGAACATGAATGACAGAAGTACACTGACACCATTTAAATAAGTTTCTTTGGTTTTTTTTTTCAAAATTGGCATGCAGAAGCATATTTATTGTATAGTATGAAATATCTGGGTTATTGTAAATAGAGATGTAAAGAAAGTTTCAGTTCTGTTCATTCATCTTCTCACTCTCCATATCCCCCACCCCCATATCATTACCATTCCATGGCAGGAAGAGAGGGAACAAACTGATGTGACTTGTTCCCTTTGTCATTTCCCTGTTTCTTCAGTCTCACACATGTTAGCAGCTGAATGTCTATAGTGTGAAGCTTTTTCTATGCAAGCAGTATCACAGTGTACTCTTGAACAGTGGTCCCCAGCCTTGGGGTAACCCAGGTGCTCTTGGACTAGAACTCCCAGAAGCCTTCACCACTAGCTGTCCTGGCTGGGGTTAGTGGAATTGCAGTCCAAGAATAACTGGTTAAACCAAGATTAGGAACCACTGCTCTAGAACAATAAACCACTCGGAGTTTTGAATTGCACGGGAACCTTATTAAATACAAAAAGATTCCTTTTGCAAAGATTCAGTCCCTATTGTATGGTGAGGAACAGTGACAGGACAAGGTACAGCCAGTGGTGTTTTCTAGACCCTTTTGCTAGCGTAGATTGGGAAACTTTGGTGGATTTGAGGGCTGCAGCAATGAAAAGAATTGAGAACAGAAGTGTCTGGAGTCCACTTCCAATTTGAAAATACTACATTTTTGTTGAATGTTATTGCTCATCAACTTACTTAAATGGTGAGTCATAGCTCCTGGAGGCTTCTAGGGATAGCAGTAAGCCATTTTTTTCCTAGAGGAGAGAATCTGGTGAAGATATCCAGAATTTTACCTCTAACTCCTCTGCCAGGATTGGAATCACTAGCATTGATTTTTAAATAATTCCCCCATTCTGTGGCTCCTGAAGGCTTCCCAGGTTGAAACAGGTCCCTAGGGAGTAGGTGGATAGGAATTTTTATATTAAAGATTCACATCTGCAGTTGATGGTATCATCAGCATTGACAACCGTGGGGTTTCACAAGAGGATTCAGTCTATGTATTTATTTTATTAAATGTTTGGAATGGAAATAAGAAATTAATGTGCATTATATTCAAATCAAAATGTTAACAGCTGTAATTTATTTCAGATGAATCAGAAGACTGAAGCAAGATACATACTCAGCTTACTCCAGAGACATTTTTGTAGGAAACTTTGTAAGTTTTAGACTTCTTTTATAAGCAGAGCAGTTTGGTACAGTCTTTTTATAGGGTTCATTAACAGATTAAAAATATTGTAAATACGATAATTTAACATAATTAAGAAGAATTTTTGTCTATGTCTCTATGTGTAGACAAACACATGGAGCTCTGTGTAAGTTTAAACTGTGCTTGGTCTCTGTTGATTGTATGCTTTTTAATGTCTTAGAGGGCTTTTACTGAATACTTTCCTGTGAACATATCTTTGTAAATCCTCTTGGGTGTATTTGCAAGGAGGTAGAATATAATCCCATCCATCGCACCAAGTAAACAGCAAGTAAACAATGGGTCATTGTCGTGGAAATGAGCTTTCTTGTACATTAATATGCAAGATGTTTGCAGATAAAATCCAGGTCTTCTGTCTTAGGCTATCAATGCAGAGCTGTTATGCTAGAATATTGGCTGTTAGTGAAAAGATTCTTCAATGTTTGTACCCCAGTGCATTACAATGCTTTTCTGCTTCCTTGCTCTGAAGTCTTGTGCAGTGGTGCCTCGCTTGACGATGTTAATTTGTTCCAGCAAAATCGCTGTAGAGTGAAAACGTCAAACGAAATGAAAAAAACCCATTGAAACGTATTGAAAACCTTTTAATGCGTTCCAACGGGCTGAATACCTGCTCGTCCAGCGAAGATCCTCCAAAGGGCGGCCATTTTCCGATGCCTGTTAAGCGAAAATTAAGTCCTAAAAAGAGCAGGGGGCATTTTCTTCAGCCAGCGGCCATTTTGAAACCCGATGATCAGCTGTCTGCTGATCGACGTAAAGCGAAAAATCGGTTCCCGAAGCATGGAACCGGTCATCGTAAAGCGTTTTTTTCCCATTGAAACATTTTGCAATCGCAGAAGTGATCGCAAAAACCTAATCATCAAGCGGATTCGTCGTAGAGTGGGGTAATCGTCCAGCGGGGCACGACTGTATACAATTTTCCTTTTCCTTTAAAGTATGACTTAGCCACAGATTTGGAACTATCAAAAGGAGCCATTTTAAAGATAAAACAAACTGTGGTGGTTTGTTTAATATGCCATCTTTCTCTTAAAACTGGGCCCTAAGGTGACTTATACTTCCTAAAGCATTAGAATTAAAACAGTGTATTAAAACAGAATTAAACTCATTTTATTAGTACAAGACAATTGAAATTAAAATTTTAAAATCACTCGATTAAAATATTAATACTATGTTACTTAAAAAAGATAAAGGACTACCACATCGGCCAAAATACAGTGGTTTCATGTTATTAATTGATGAAGGCCTGCCTAAGTAAAATGGTCTTTGTCTGTCAGTGGAAGGCTGTGGGGTTGGCAAAGAATTCCATAGCTTGGGAGTGGCTACAGGCTTGAATCCCCACCAAATGGGTATGTGAAGGTTGTGGCATCATGAAATATTTATTAAATATTGCATGCACAATATTTGGTAAAAAGAGTTATCCTAGAAAAAGGAAGAGTAGAGTGCTACATGCTATCTTGTAGTAATCTGTATATTATAATACCGCCTTGACTAATTTATGTACCACTGATTCTTATACCTTGCCTGTCTGTATTAATACTACTAGGGATATATAGTTCTGAAAGCAGCTCCACTCAGCTGCTTTTAAAACCCTATGGGCCTTCATATTAATCAATTGCTTTGGAATAATACATCTAGCATTAGACAGCCCTTAGGTGAAGGCTATGATAAGGGATGTCTTGAAAAATGTGAAAGTTATAAGCTAATATGTTTTGCATAAGTGAGTGGTATCTATAATCTACACAGCAGGCTTAACCGTATCTATGAGTACAGAGTAAGTGACTCAAGCATTCAGGTTGCATTAATGTGGGAAATTAATGGGATCTGATTATGGACAAAAGAAAATTTTATCCATGAACTGAATGGAAATTAGTTTTTTAAAAAAATGTACTCATGTTTGGTGCAGTATGACTTAACATTTGCTATATCATAAAGGCAAGGCTATCATTGTCCTCCTTAAATCTGACCAGTGTGAGTATGTGTAAGAAATGTCTTATGTCTTTTTACATGTTTCCTACTACAGATTAGTAAGATGTCAGTCTATTTTCTCTTTTCTCACTTTCAGCAAACTACATTGAGAGACCTCAGCTGATCCGAGCAAAAGTGCCAATAGTGAAGTTCAGGGATAAAGTCAGGCAAGTATTTACTACTGAGGTTCAAGAGAAGGAATTAAAAGTGTGTAATATGAAAATCTGCTAAGAGTCCTTTCACTCTTGTGAGGGCATGTATCATCCTACTATGGTTGCTGTTGAACTTTCTTCTATTCAGTACTTCTGTAATAGATTAGATTGGGTATCCTTCAGTCTTGAGAGACTATAGTAATGTGCTCTGTATGGAGGACTTGGAACAACATCTAGTGTGGCTGAGAAGGCCAATTCGAGAGTGACAGTCCCTTCCATATTGAAGACAAATACAATATGTCCCCTGTCCAGCTCCCTGATTTTCCTGGTTTCGGGACTGCCTCTTTGCCTCGGCCTGCTGAACAAGTGTCTCTTCAAAATGGGAGAGGCCATGCTGCACCACCTGCCTCCAGGCTGAACGCTCAGATGTCAAGGTTTCCCATCTGTTGAGGTCCATTCCTAAGGCTTTCAGATCCCGCTGGCAGATATCCTTGTATCACAGCTGTGGTCTCTCTGGGGCAATTTCCCTGCACTAATTCTCCATATAGGAGATCTTTTGGAATCCGACCATCAGCCATTCTCACGACATGCCCAAGCCAACGTAGACGTTGCTGTTTCAGTAATGTATACATGCCAGAAATTCAACTCATTCTAGGACTACTCTATTGGGAACTTTGTCTTGCCAGGTGATACCAAAAATGCGTCGGAGACAATGCATATGGAACGTGTTCAGCTTCCTCTCCTGCTGTGCACAAAGGGTCCAGGACTCACTGCAGTACAGGAGTGTGCTCAGGACACATGCTCTATAGACTTGGATCTTGGTATATGCCATCAACCTCTTATTAAGTCATACTCTCTTTGTGAGGCTAGAGAACATGGTAGCTGCTCTGCTAATGAGTTTATCCAGCTCTACATCTAGGGAGAGGGTGTCAGAGATTGTTGAGCCAAGGTACACAAAGTCATGAACAACTGGCAATTCTTGTGTGGAGATGGTAATACTGTAGAGGGAGGTGAGTCCATGCCCTGGCCCATGACTTGTGTTTTCTTCAGGCTGATTGTTAGTCCAAAGTCTTGGCAGGCCTTGCTAAAACGATTCATGAGTTGTTGGAGGTCTTCAGCAGAGTGGGCAACAATAGCTGCATCATTGGCGAACAGGAAGTCCCGCATGCATTTCAGTTGGACTTTGGTCCTCGCTCTCAATCTAGAGATTAAAGAGCTTTCCATCTGATCTAGACACCTTCTGTTGCAGTTCCAAAGGCGTGCTTCAGCATGACAGCAAAAAAGATCCTGAACAGGGTCGGCACGAGGACACAGCCCTGTTTCACTCCACTTTGGATGTCAAAGGGATCTAATACTGAGCCATCAAAAACTACAGTGCCCTTCATTTCCTCATGAAAGGATCTGATGATGTTAAGCAGTCCAATCTTGGGAAGTATTTTAAAAACACCGTCCCTGCTAACCAAATCAAAGCCCTTTGTAAGATGTATGAGGGCCACAAAGAGTGGCTGTTGTTGTTCCCTACATTTCTCCTGCAGCTGTTTGAGGGAGAATACCATGTCATTGGTGGATCTATTAGCTCGAAATCCACACTGTGATTCTGGATAGACTCTGTCTGCAAGCACCTTTAGTCTCTTCAGCACAACACGGGCAAGCAGCTTCCCTACAACGCTGAGAAGAGAGATGCCATGGTAGTTATTGCAGTCCCTCCCCCCGGTCTCCTTTGTTCTTATACAGTGTGACAGTGTTTGCATCCTTCATGTCCTGTGGTACTCCAGCTTCCCTCCAGCAAAGACAAAAGATTTCATACAACTCGGTGGTAATGATCTCTTTACAGCACTTCAGCAGGGATGTTATCTTTCCCAGGTGTCTTGCCAGAGGCGAGGGAATCCAAGGCTACTTTTATTTCTACTAAAGTTGGTTCGTTGTTCAACTCTTTCAAGACAGGCAGGCACTCAATGTTATTTAGTGCCTCTTCCGTTACTACACTCTCTCTGGAATATAGCTCAGAGTAGTTCCATCTGCTGTGCTTGGTCCTGGATGATCCTGCCTGTAGCAGACTTCGAGAGAGCAGATTTCTTCTGTATTGGACCTAAAGTCTGCTTGATACCATCATACATTCCCTTGATGTTACCTGTGTCTGCTGCTTTCTGTATCTGAGAGCAGAGCTGAAGCCAATAATTGTTGGAACATCTCCTGGGAGCCTGTTGGACTTCGCTACGAGCAAGTTTGAAGAGCTTGCAAGTTGCACTTACTAGGACATGCTAGTAAGTATGCTGCTAGAACTCTCTTCTTTTCCTCGATGGCTGGCATCAACTCCGACTGTGCTTTGAACCAGTCTGCCATCTTTTTGGTCTTCTTGCCAAATGTGGACAAGGTGGAGTTATAAACTGTTCTTGAAATGTTCCCATCATTCAGGTGCATTTGCATCAGCTGGGCCTGGAAGGGATTCCTCAAGTGCTTGGGCATATTCCTCCACTTTTCTTTGATCGTGAGTCTTGCTGATGTCAATACATGGCTCTCCTTCCTTTTTGTGTGATACAATCCCTTTGTTCACAGTTTTACTCTAATACACATCAGGGAGTGATCAGTATCACAATCAGCACTCTGCTGACTGCATGTGACCGTAATACTAGGAAGGCTAGAACATCTAGTGAGGATCAAACCAAGCTGGTTCCAATGCTTTGATCTTGGATGTCTCCAGGAAACTCTGTGTTGAAGCTTCATATTAAAGAACGTGTTGCTGACACAAAGACCATAATAACAGCAA